ACAGAAATGGTTAAGAAGAGATCTAACTGCATCTTCTGCTGCCTGACAGACAGACCTTCCTCAGCGGTGCACGAGAGATACAGGCTACAGCATGAGAAATTCTAGTTAGATATGGGGGCAGAATGCTGTACTTATGGTTCCATACACCTCACCCATGGAGGATATTAATCTGCAGGAATGTACACATTGTATTTTAATAGAATTAAAATTAATAAACTGTGAAACATTAGGATCTAGAACTCTAAAAATCACCGTAAGCTTCTTAAAGCCGGCAGGTTTGAGAAAACTCCCTCAAGAGCTCCTAGAACATTTTCAATAACTAAAACTGCATTCTTTTCTAAATTCTCTTTGATAAAATACTCATGAAGAACTGTAACATCCATACCATTCATCAATAGTACTTGAGTGGAACTGAAACCAACTTCACCCTCAGTATTATATTGTAGCTATGGCCTAGAAATCAGAAAATATTCAAAAGAAAATTTCAAAATGGACTTTGAAAATTAAATTTATTCTGGCAACAATGCAATAATACCTCTACAAGTCAATACTCCTCTTGGTCTTTTTTTGGAGCAAAGTAAAAATAAAATATGTTGCCAGTAAAAATGTAGTTGTCCTATTTCGGTTTTGAACAGACTTCATAGCATCACAGATGCAAAGCAAATGTACAGCATGTGTGAAAGAGACAAAAACAGAAAGGGGGACAGAAAGGTAAAATATGGAACAGGAGAGAGATGTAGCCCAAGTGGGGCATTACAGAACAAATGAACTTCAGCTTTAGAGAGTTGAGCATAACAGAATGATGAAAAATAACAGACAGAAAATTATGAAGGAATGTAGTGAAAAGATATAAATACAGAGTCATTCATACAATTTGGTTTTATTAATCTGTAAGAGTAATTTAGCCCCATTATATGCTTTCCACCTTGACAACTTCCTCCTCACCTAAGCCCACAGCTTTGCACTGCTTGTTCATTAGCAAGGCCAGTGGTAATACTCATTTCTGCTCATATTTCAGGAGACCAGCCAAAACTGGAAAACAAAGAGGTGAATAAAGTTTGTTTTTAATAAATTTCATGGAAACAGTTATCAGGATTTTTACTGTCTTGAAAGTATTTCTTGAATTCTCAACAGGTGAACAATAAGCAGTCCTTGAAATGGAGTCTCATATCAGTATATAAAATGAAGGAGGATGAAAAGAATGTACTCTCATATTTATCAGAGATAATTGCATTGAAAATATATTGCAACTGCACCATAAACCCATGTAAAAGAATGATGTCCTTCCAAATGGAGTGGATGAAGTAAACCATCTCTTTCTGAACTAGGAAATTGAGATAAGGACTCACCTAAATGAAGGTATATGACTTTGGCTGTCTTTTGTTTGCCTAAGTTAGCATCGCAACTAAAGCCATGAAAACCAGCAAAATAGTTATGAGCAGAGAGATGCAAAATATAACCTAAATTTACATGTTGGCCTGAAAACAGCAGGCAGCTTTTACATCTTATTAATTCGTTATCGTTCAATAGCTAAGTAGAATTCCTCAATATAGAGCATTATGTAAACGTGCGATGATTCAGTTTCCATCAGTACTACCCCATGTAGCAATAGACCACGCCATGATAAAAGAAAATGAAGGAAAATGATGATGTGCCTCAAGAACCTTAGTCAGAAATAACTTCTTTCAAACATCCCACCAGCTGCGGAGAAGGCAAAGATGGCTGACTCTTTGCTGAATCACTGCCTTCGAAGGAGGGCAGGGGAGATTTTGGTTCATTTGTGAGTTTTAATTAATGATGTCAATGGCCATTGACCTAATTTTTGAATACTTTACACTGGGATAAAGGTATACATGAACAGCTACAGACTTACAGGTCTACAAGTCTACAATTACCATCCTGAACTAGCTAGTTTGCATTAATTTTTTTTCTTTTTAGTGAGATACAGCCGACATTTTGAGTTTATATATTATTTTTGCACTAATATAATTCAAAAATGTAGACTGCACATGAAAGAACACAGGTAGTTTCTAACATACACTTGTAAATGCCAGGAGACACTTTACAATCAGTAGTGCTACAGAACTATATAATCAAGGTAATAAAAAACCCCATGCTATCTTGGACCCTGCATAAGGGGGAATACTACTTTTTTTCTTTACTACATATATAAAAGCTGCAAATATTTCTTTCATATTCCTCTCTTCTTATGGGTCTCTCCTGCCTCTTTTCAACACCCACTATTCACCCTTTCATACTTACACCTTCAGGAAAACACTTCTGCAAAAGCAGAACTGCGTTTTCTTTAGTAACAGCTATGTTAACTCCCTCAGTACTCTGGAATATATGTAATTTTTGTCTTCAATAAATGCATATTTAATTCCTCCCACACCTCACTTGTCATATCATCAATAACTTCCTGCAACTGGCTGCAAATTTACCTGTTTTTATCATCTTTAGAGTCAACATATTGCACAGGTTATAAATCACACAGGTTTTATATACCTCAGATACTTTGTAGGAGAACAAAGTGAACCTTGTGTTATACAGAATGTTTCTGCAGACAACTTGAACATAACAAAATTTTAAAACCTCTTGAAATATATCTTATCTCCTACAGCAAAATCTTTTTTGAAATTTAGAGATCAGCCTATGGCAGAAACCTGCCCAGTCTGCCAGAATTCTTGCCAATTCTTCTACTAATAATAAAACTCAGCAACAAAAAATAGTCAGAAAAGAATGTTGTCTGAAAGCCAAACTGAACCTAACGGCGTTCATATTCTGACACTTGCATTTGAAGTTAGCCTGCACAGATGCCTGTCTTCTGACCGTTCAACTGGAATAGTATTTAGCCACAATACAGACCAATAGCAGTTGCCTGATGATTCTTTAATACCTTCTATTTTGTACTATTTGTATAGTGAAATAAAAAAAAGTTTTAAAACCTTTCTTGTCCCCTCTACAACATTCACTGCAATTTGATAAAAAGTTATCTAGCTACAAATTGATAAACTATTACTCTCACCCTTAGCACTTACTGTAATGTTTAGCTGTACCTGCTCTAACAAGAGCACTAGAAAGCTGAAGGAAATGTCACATCCCTCACAACCTACCCCACACGAGCTGCTCCACAGCATTCACCACAGCCTCCAACCCCTGCACATCACACACTCAAATCACCATCCAGCTGCAAACACCAGGGGAAGGGAATTGGAGCTGCCCACCTGCACAGCTGCTCCTCAAACACGGAGCAAAAGGGAACAATCACCTACAGCACACTCCAGGACTACCATTACACAGCTGTGGCACATACCTTTTCTGCTACCTGTAAAAGTTCTTTAGCAACCTAGAAGTATATTATGATCCATCACTATTAGTCTTTCATGTACATTGACCATGATTTTCTATAAAAATCCCATAGAGTTGAAATTAGGAATCACACGCATGTATGAAGGTTTGAAGTTACCATAGATTAAGATTTCACAAAAATGTACTTGTCTTCTCAAAATGACTAAATATCAGTGTAAACAGAGAGAGAAGCCATTGTTTTTATTCTATTATTTCGAAATGGATAAAAAACGAAAAGCTAAGTCTTCTCTAATACAGTACTGATGACACATTTGAGTTCTACTATCATTAATGTCACAGAGACATAAAATTAAAAATCAGTATCTATTGTAGCCAAGTTCAAAGTAATGAGCTAAATGCTAAAAATATAAATCCCTTTTTTTTTAAAGTTTCCATATCGAAGGAAGCAAACAATAAGTTCAGGCAAGTCTTTCAGTCATTAAAGGAACAAACTCTTAACAGATGGGTGAAAACATTTAATTTAGCAAGTAACTGTTATTAAATAAATAATGCGGATATTTTCTTTGTAGAATTCCATAATTATCTATGAGCCAACTCTTATTACCTACATCTGTCAGCCAATCTAATAATTAACACAAAAGAGTTGAATGGACAAAAAAATGTGCTGCTTGAAGAATAAAATATGTTTAGCAATTTAATACTTAAAATAAAATCGAGAAAAAATATAGATGCATTGTGTACTCTTAAGATTCTATCATAACTTTTATTACAGTTCTAATTTTAAATAATATTTAGTCCAATAAATTCTTCTCAAGCCTTACAAAGCATAATTTGTGACATTTACTGCTGTTAGTTATGAATAATTTCAAGATCAGGAAAGAAACAGAAGCGTCTCAAAAACATTAATACTGTTGAAATTAAACACCTTTTCCTTCAGGAGGAAAAAAAAAATAACAGAGAAAAACCAATTTTTCAATAGCATGTACTAAACTTTCTAATAAGAACCCTATCCTGAAGATATTATTATGCTGCATCACAATTAAAATTCACATTTTCCCAACATCCAGAAAGTGTGTTATGCCAAGCAAAAAAAGAAACAAAAAAAAATCAAAACCATAAAATAACTTCAAAAGAAAATTAATTGAAGATTATCAAGGGTCTTCAAAATTAATGATATTGATATACTCAAAACTATTCATAATCAAAACTCTGAAAATCAAGAAGCAGCACCAGCAGAGAGTATTGACTGTAAACATGACAACAGACACAATTCTAATATGTAAAACTTATTACTGTCAAATAGGTATCTCTGTGGTATCTCAGCAAGTAGTATATAATCTCTATCGACAGATCCTGAGAGATAAGCTGCTAAACGAGCTGCGGTCTTGCCTCTTAGCTTTCACAACTTGATTTTGCTCTCAGCTCCTTAGCCAAGTTCCAAGCTCCTTCCAACACAATGCATGGACAAGTTGTGCTGAGCACAATGCATGGACAACTTGGAAAGCAGATGCTCCACGGAGCAACAGTTCACAGTTCAGCAATGTTACGAGTAACAAGCATTGTGAGCACTATTATGTTCAATGATCCTCACTTGCTGTTTCTTTTCCATGAATTATAAAATAACTCCTGGAACTCATGAAAGCATTTAGCAATCAGTGCTCCCCATGGCAACTGAAACATGCACTGCATGGGGCAGCATATTTGGTCTGTGAACCTGCCACCTGACAGTTTCATTCAGCACTTTTTTGGGCATGTAATGGGAGAGGGTGACTGTTCATTGTGTTCCTTTGCTCCTCCTGCAGCATTCATGATTCCATGTACCTCCATCATAATTGCCCCTCAGCCATTTTAAGCTCATTTATAGGGGGTTGCCACTGACAGCTGACTGACATCTCCACCCTCACACTATCACAGGAGCATTTGCCATGTATTCCTTCACTGGATAATCTTGGGGTTAGCAAATAATGGATTTACCTAACACTACATAACTATGTCTCTGGCACAAGAATCCCAAAAGAGTTACTGATGAACAGCAGGCACACTCCCTAACCACAGCAGAGCCAGTAACATTGCTGAGCCTGAGCCCGACCCCTCTGAGTACTTAATGACCCCAAACACCACGCAACGGAAAAAGTCCTAAGTTCTATCAAATGATCATTCCATCAAGGAAAACTTTTGGTTCACTCAATTGATTTTATGATCTTTGCTATTTTATTTGCAAATTAAGGATATGAAAAAAGACGTTTTTGTTAGGAAAAAATACACAAGGAAAACACTGCAAGATGAACATCTGTAGAAACTTATGAAATCTTGGGTGCCTTGGGTACAGATGCAACTTACTTTCTGTGTGTTGGACCCTCTAAAAAACAGAAAGAAATTAAATAAAATAAAAGTCAGAAACAGCCAGTCAGGGAAAAGTTAGAAACTAAATTCATAAGAACATCATACAGAGACACATGTAAGTTGCCTTGCTTTTGTGGCTGGAAATGGCCAGAAAGTAAAGAGCAGTAAGAGTTGCTCCAGGATACTGGCTCCCCAAAACCAACTTTCACTAAAGCAGCAAAGGCATCAGTAGACAGACAGTCTCAGTATGAAATCTGGCTTGATTGCAGTGCCCTTTAGAAGAGGAAGCAGTTTGGTTTTGGATGCTTCTTACTTACTGGATTGTTGAAATGGTGAAAAAGTGGCAAACGGGAAGTATCAGAAGGGCCATAAGGTGTAAATACTCCAAAAGAATCAGCAAGACACAGCAGCACACTGGGGTCAACAATAGTCAATCATTCTCAGTACAAAAAGCTTTTTTCAAGGCTTGAGAGCCTGAAATACTGAAAACTTCCAGCTACTGAATATCTTAAATGAACATGGCTGTCTTGGTACTTGCATCACAGATGACCTGCAGTATGGCATAATGGACAGAGCTCAGTGACAGCCACCGCAAATTGCTGCTTGCAGTGGGCCTTATTACAACACTACTTTTTAGTTCTTTCTGTTTTCTGATTCAATTAAAGTCATTGCAAGTAACTAAAAAGGCAGGGTAAGCTGACTGAATTTCAGGAGACATTACACAGACCGTATTTACAAATAAAATGGCTTTTTAGGACTGGTTGAAGTAGAGGATCCTAGCAGAGGCTCATGTGACCTTTGAGAGGCAGAGTCACCCATCAGATCAGCAGCCCTGTGATGGCCAGCACAGCCATCAGCAGACTGCTGGGACAGCTCCCATGGACCTCAGCTCCTTCACTTCCCAAAAGCAAGCACTGAAGAGGGAACAAAGCTCTGGGACTACAAGAGTACAAGTGCTCCAGATTTAACAGAACTTACATTTGATTTACACAAATAATCTGACAATGAAAAGCATAGTCTCCACAAGGCACTGACTTCAAAAATCAACATATTTATGCTGTCATGAATGAGAATTCAAAATTAAATGCATTTTATAAGACATCTCAGTAACTGTTTGGAAGCAGCTATTACTTCCTCTTTAAAGAAAAAAATATATTTTGATTATGTCATATTATGTTAAAAAATAATTTCAGAGGGAAAAGCAAGTAAGGCCTATTTGTCACAAATTGGATGAAAACTGGACTTCCAAATGTCAAACATTCCCAGAAAGCAACATTTCCAAGTTTCATCTTCTAGCTCTCCTGAAGATTCATTTTCAACCACAAAGTTAATTATGTTTGATCTGAATTCAGTGAGCAGTGTTAAGGATCAAGGCAAATTGCTGGAGTAAGGGGAAATCAGACAGGTCTTCAAAGTCATTCTAGGTAAGACAGAGCACTCCTTAGGAGCAGAAGGCTTCAATAATAAAATTTCGTATTTGATAACAGGAAATAGGAAAATAATTTCATTGACTCATTTAAAAAATACCAGTTTTCCATCATGTTATATACAAGTAGTGACTTCTAAGAAGAAAGGAAAATAGGAGCTGATGGGTGGGTATTTAAAAACAATTGCTCAAAGTTCATATGCTACAAGAAATGAAGGCAAAATTCTGTATGAAGTCTGTTGCAAGGGTAAAAATAAGTAGAACATAATTCTCATTTTAGAAATAGAATGAGGCAAAAAAACTGAAATTGAGTATCAAAGGCCCTGCAGCAACTAAGAGAAGGGATGCCTGTGCGGGCTGACAGAGGGAATCATTTTAAGTAAATAAAATACACAAACCACCAAAAGTACATTTCTGAGAAAAGAAAAAAACAGGAAAAGAAAAAAAATCCCTTTGGTTCTTGATAAAGCAGAATGCTTCAGAATACTTCTACATGCTTCATGTCTTTGAGGAGTCTAAGTAACATTTCAACATATGTTCTTCTTCTACCTTCACTCTCCAAGTAACCACTCGTGCTGCTGTGTGTCTCAGTCTCCCTCACCCTTTGCCCCAAGTAAAACTGGAAAATATAGTGCATAGTCAGGAAAGAGGAGGCAGAACTTGGAAAGGGGGAGAGAGGGATCTAACCCCTTTTTCCTTCCCTAGAAAACAACAAAGGGAGGTATCATCGACAACAGAGTTAAGAGCCAGTTAACTGAGTCAGTCCTCAAGAAACCATGGCATAGTTCTGTTTCCAAAAAAACATCGCTATGCATGTTTTACTGTTTCTCTGAACTTATTCCTGAACTTCTACAGAACTCTTGCTCTGCACTTCCCAGGTCTGGAGTGTCCTGAAAACTAAATGGGATCTATAAAGTTCGGGTTCTCAAACTTTATTGTGGATATACATAAAAGGAGGATGAGATTTTTCAATCCTACATTGCACAGCCAGCAATACAGTCATGGAGGCATAGTACTGACTTTCCCTTTCCAGAGAACATGCAGCAGCTGAGATAAATAGTCAAAGGTATTTTTTGCAATAACAGGGGCATGGTATGAAGAGTCTGGGCCTGGTAACAAAGGATTTAGTATCCCCACTTTCAAGTGACATGCTTTATGGAGAAAGGTTAAGGAGCTGTTTTTCAGCTACACTTCTCACTGCCTCCTCCTGAAAGTGATTGCTGCTGGCTCCCCTCCAGCGAGGGCTTGAGAGGAATCAAACAATTCACTGGTGAGAACTACACCGAGAGCCTGCAGGCAGAGGTAAGACAGAGAGCATCTTAATGAGGAAAAAACTGCAGATCAGAGATTTCTCTCACGTAAGGTAAAACATACTGGAGACACTGAGGGGACTTGAGAATTACTGGACACTGGAGGTTTAAATTAAAGGATTCTCCTATTCCCTTTCACACAGTGACAACAGGGGAAAAAAGAACCTCAAATCTGCATACGCCTTTTAACCAGCATTCCACCAAATTGCAGATCCAAAAAACTTCCAAACATCTCTTGTTAGAAGGATTCTGCTTTGCAAATGTGTTTAGAAATTTATAACTACCTGACTCATCTCCACCACAGAAGAGCTATTTAATGGTGTATTACTTGTCACCTGTTATCAACAGTGTCCTTTGAACCCGGTTTGAGACTACAGAGCAAAACATAAATCTGCCACAGCTTTTTGGCACTTCCTGCCAAGTACTTGCTCATACTCTGCAAAATTATGCAGACTATTAACCTTACATAAATTTTAAAAGTCTGGGTCTTCCCAAAGAACATGTAGAGGGCAGACTCATGAAAGTTCTTCAGAGCAGTGACCAGGACCAAAACAGACCAGGAAGAACCATTAAACCTCTACCTGAATTCAGGTACAGGAAGGCTGTGCATTACCTGTACAAGAAAATGTACTGAAAAAAATCCATGAAAAACAAAGGGAGCTGCAGCACCTTAATAACTCTACACCAGCTCTTCTGGAAGGAGAGCCATAAACCTTAAGTCTCTGTGCTTCATCATAGCTGAACATTTACAACAAAGGGGAAGCACAGCTCTTTGTCGATTGAGAAATAAATTTACCAGATAATCCTAAATATTTCAGTATGGAACAGCACATCAACCCTAACAAACATTTTCTTTATCTAGAGCACAAGGTTCCTAGAATATATAAAAGTAGTTATTGTAAGATTTATACTAAGTCAAATATTAATGTAAATATTTCTAAGAACTCTTAGTTTCTAGTTCCAATTTAATTATTTTATAGACTTACTTAATATGTTATTGCTTAATGTGCTTAAAATGTTTTGACTAGTTCAGTCAATGTTGAACAATGAAAAAGGAGTGCAAATGACTTAAGAAAACTGTTCTTCATCTGGAAACGGTTTTCCAACACACAGTGATAGGTTTTCTGCCCATCTGTTAAACCAGCCCCATCAAATTGTTTTGAGGACAAAAAAGGGGGATAGAAAAAAAAAGACTCGCAGTATTCATCATGACTCACCCAGTATTTTTCACTAGCTGTGCTTACTAAAGTGTAACAATGTGGATTCTATATTCTATTCTTAATACATATTAAGTCCAGCTCTAGATAAAGAACTTTTCGTAGTGCACCATCCTGGGATGAACTGAAAGGTCTTCAGCATTTTTATGCCAAAAAAAGCCTAAGTGTGGAAAAGGGCTTTTGCTGGTGCAATGTATCCCATTTCACTCCAGAGTTAACTTAGCCTGACTTGGGAAAAATGCATTTACACCATTACACGTATGCTGAAAGGAGTATCTGGAAGAGCCATGACAGCAAAACTTCTGCAGTGCAGCCCAGAACGAAGCCACCCAGGCACTTGAGCACCCAAAGAGCACAAGGCCAGGGCACTGCAGCGTGAGGCTCTGCAAGAGGCACTCACTTGGATTCGCAGCCGGCGCCCCGAGCACCGGCAGGCACACAGCGAGCTGGGAATTAAGAATGATGCTGTCACACAGCAGAGCACGGGCTGCTGCTCAGCAAAGTCTATTATAAGCAAGCTGATCTTCAGCACTGCTCACACTGCGATCAAATTGCTCTGCTGTGAACTGGTATTTCCCCAGTTTTCAGAGTAAACAAGCAAACAAACAGAAGAAAACCAACAAAACCTCCAAATAAACTACAGAACAATACCTGACACTTTGAGATAGAGATACTGCGTGTGTGCAATTTTCTCAAGGTCAAATCATTTATCAATGGACACTTGGCTATAGTCAGTTGCCTGGTTCTGTAGATGAGCTATTCTTCTCTTAATGGCAGTAACAATACAGATATCCAGTAAATTAACCCAGAATGTTAAAAACAATGTCACAGCAAGTGAAAATAATTCAAACCCAATTCAAATTACTCCATTAAATGATTGTATAGGTCTCATAAAATGAAAGTACATTAAATAAGTAGAAAAGATCAATAAGACCAAGAAATAACTCCATATTGATTGAGTAACAAAACTGCAGATAGCTGTCTGATGCTTCACCCCAATTCACTGCTTCTGCTCACACAGGAAGGTTCCTCTCCATGAATCCCTCACACACAACTATACCAACTGCCACTCCTTTTGTTCCTCTCCTATTCTGTAAGTTTTCAAAATAGCATTAATACTTATATTAGATGTACTGTATTTCTACTGGTTCATGACATTAAGACCTAATTTTAAATTCAAAAAGTAACAATAGGGGCTTGGTGGATGGATGAAGGATGGAATTTTGACAGAAAGGGGATATTTTGTGCTGCTAAAACAGCTAATGAAGCATAAAAGAGTTTTAAAAATACTGAATAAGGAAATCACAATAAAAATTAGACGTGTTCAGGGAAAAAAATTTTATCAAAATTTCTTCAACATATTATATTCACAGAAGAGTTCCAGCTCAAATATGAAAATGGTTGGAAAGCTTAAGTACTCTGCAGATCTTGGGATAGAATAAATTCTACAAAGAGAGAAAACAAAGATGAAACCATTCTTTTACATGGGAAAGCTGCTTCTGCCATTGACTCTTACCATTCCAGTTGCTCAGAGTTTGTCTTTGGCATTTCACCTTTTACTTGGTTTTTTTAATTAAAATGTATTAAAAGGCCAACAGAATTCAATAGTGTTAACACATTTATGCTTTATCAGACTTGTAACCTTATTTAAAAAAATCATCGGAGTTTATCACCTTTTGTTAAACTCTTTTCATTAGTAGTTACAGAAAATCACTAATAAAGGATGATAAAAAGAACGTGCAAACCTTGCTAGCAAAATGGCTGTGGTCAATTATTGTCTCAGAGTCCATACAAAATTAATTACTTTAATTTTCTCATCCACATTTAGAAAAAATGTATTTAGAACCGTAACAGATATCATGGCAATCTTGATCCACAGCATGCAAATCACACCAATAGCTATGTGCAATGGTAAAGGAATGCTATTACAATAGAGATAAAGCAAAAAAATTCACAAAACTTGTTTCCAGAAGTACTGCTTAGACTTCCAATTGTCCCTTTTACTTTTTATGTCCCATATTCAAAATTATTCTGTCGTAAGCAAATACTCAACTGGTCCAGGTTATGAGTCATTCCATTTACTTATTCTGAACTCTGCCATAATGTCAGCTTTCTCCTAC